TTTGAATGTACATAATGCCTCTCAGTTGAACACTTAAGTATTTAAAAGGGTAACTTTTATATGTAAAATGGTAAATTTTATATTATGTGTAATTTACCATGGTACAAAAATAACTGTAGACTCTAAATCTTTGATATGAGCTAGAGAAGGTTTACACTCCTTTAGCTAAGATTGCATGCTTTAAAAATGTGCTCCAGAAGGCAGACAGCAGAAGCAAGAAGAACTACAATCCTGCAGCCTGTGGAGCAAAAACCACATTCACAGAAAGATAGACAAGATGAAAAGTCAGAGGGCTATGTACCAGATGAAGGAACAAGATAAAACTCCAGGAAAACAACTAAATGAACTGGAGATAGACCACCTCCCGGAAGAAGAGTTCAGAATAATGATAGTGAAGATGATCCAGGACCTCGGAAAAAGAATGGAGGCAAAGATCTAGAAGATGCGAGAAATGTTTAACAAAGACCTAGAAGAACTAAAAAACAAACAGAGATGAACAATACAATATCTGAAATGAAAAATACACTACAAGGAATTAATAGCAGAATAACTGAGGCAGAAGCACTGATAACTGACCTGGAAGACAGAATGGTGGAATTTACTGCCACGGAACAGAATAAAGAAAAAAGAATGAAAAGAAATAAAGACAGCCTAAGAGACCTCTGGGACAACATTAGACACAACAACATTCGCATTATAGGGGTCCCAGAAGGAGAAGAGAGAGAGAAAGGACCCGAGAAAATATTTGAAGAGATTATAGTCAAAAACTTCCCTAACGTGGTAAAGGAAATAGCCACCCAAGTCCAGGAAGCTCAGAGAGTTCCACACAAGATAAACCCAGGGAGAAACACACCAAGACACATAGTAATGAAATTGGGAAAAATTAAAGACTAAGAAAAATTATTGAAAGCAGCAAGGGAAAAACAACAAATAACATACAAGGGATCTACCATAAGGTTAAGAGCTGATTTCTCAGCAGAAACTCTACAAGCCAGAAGGGAGTGGCATGACATGTTTAAAGTGATGAAAGGAAGAACCTACAACCAAGATTACTCTACCCAGCAATAATCTCATTCAGATTCGATGGAGAAATCAAAAGCTTTACAGAAAAGCAAAAGCTAAGAGAATTCAGCACCACCAAAGCAGCTCTACAACAAATGCTAAAGGAACTTCTCTAAGTGGGAAATACAAGAGAAGAAAAGGATCTACAAAAACAAACCCATAACAATTAAGAAAATGGTCATAGGAACATACATATCAATAATTACCTTAAATGTGAACGGATTAAATGCTCCAACCAAAAGACACAGGCTTCCTGAATGGATACAAAAACAAGACCATCTATATGCTATCTACAAGAGACCCACTTCAGATCTAGGACACATACAGACTGAAAATGAGGGGATGGAAAGAGATATTCCATGCAAATGGAAATCAAAAGAAAGCTTGAGTAACAATACTCAGATAAAATAGACTTTAAAGAATGTTACAAGAGACAAGGAAGGACACTACATGATGATCAAGGGATCAATCTAGGAAGAAGATATAACAATTATGAATATATATGCACCCAACATAGAAGCACCTCAATACATAAGGCAACTGCTAACAGCTATAAAAGAGGAAATTGACAGTAACACAGTAATAATGGGGGACTTTAAAACGTCACTTAAAACCAATGGACAGATCATCCAAACAAAATTAATAAGGAAACACAAGCTTTAAATGACACAATAGACCAGATTTAATTGGTATTTATAGGACATTCCATCCAGAAACAACAGAATACACTTTCTTCTCAAGTGCACACGGAACATTATCCAGGATAGATCGCATCTTGGGTCACAAATCAAGCCTCAGTAAATTTAAGAAAATTGAAATCATATCAAGCATCTATTCTGACCACAATGCTATGAGATTAGAAATCAGTTACAGGGAAAAAAAACATAAAAAACACAAACACTTGAAGGCTAAACAATATGTTACTAAATAACCAAGCGATCGCTGAAGAAATCAAAGAGGAAATCAAAAAATACCTAGAGACAAATGACAATGAAAACACGATGATCCAAAACCTATGGGATGCAGCAAAAGCAGTTACAAGATGGAAGTTTATAGCTATACAAGCCTACCTCAAGAAACAAGAAAAATCTCAAATAAACAATCTAACCTTACACCTAAAAGAAGTAGAGAAAGAAGAACAAGCAAAACCCAAAGTTAGTAGAAGGAAAGAAATGATAAAGATTAGAGCAGAAATAAATGAAATAGAAACAAAGAAAACAGTAGCAAAGACCAATAAAACTAAAAGCTGGTTGTTTGAGAAGATAAACAAAATTGATAAACCATTAGCCAGACTCATCAAGAAAAAGAAGGAGAGGACTCAAATCAAGAAAATTAGAAATGAAAAGGAGAAGTTACAGCAGACACCGCAGAAATACAAAGCATCCTAAGACACTACTACAAGCAACTCTCTGCCAATGCAATGGACAACCTGGAAGAAATGGACAAATTCTTAGAAAGATATAACTTACCAAGACTGAGCCAGGAAGAAATAGAAAATATGAACAGACCAATCACAATTAATGAAATTGAAACTGTGATTAAAAATCTTCTAAGAAACAAAAGTCCAGTACCAGATGGCTTCACAGGTGAATTCTATCAAACATTTGGAGAAGAGCTAACAAAAAAAAAATTACAGACCAATATCACTGATGAATATAGATGCAAAAATCCTCAACAAAATACTAGCAAGCAGAATCCAACAACACTTTAAAAGGATCATATACCATGAGGAAGTGGGATTTATCCCAGGAATGTAATGATTCTCCAATATACGCAAATAATCAATGTGATACACCATATTAACAAATTGAAGAATATGGTCAAACCATATGATCATCTCAATAGATGCAGAAAAAGCTTTTGACAAAATTCAACACCCATTTATGACAAAAACTCTCCAGAAAGTGAGCATAGAGGGAACCTACCTCAACATAATAAAGGCCATGTACGACAAACCCACAGCAAACATCATTCTCAACGGTGAAAAACTCAAAGCATTTCCTCTAAGATCAGGAACAAGAGAAGGATGTCCACTCTCACCACTGTTTTTCAACATAGTTTTGGAAGTGCTAGCCACCGCAATCAGAGAAGAAAAAGAAATAAAAAGAATAAAAATTGGAAAAGAAGAAGTAAAACTGACACTGCAGATGACATGATACTATACATAAAGAATCCTAAAGATGCCACCAGAAAACTACTAGAGCTAATCAATGAATTTGGTAAAGTTGCAGGATACAAAATTAATGCACAGAAATCTCTTGCATTCCCATACGCTAGTGATGAAAAATCTGAAAGAGAAATTAAGGAAACACTCCCATTTACCATTGCAACAAAAAGAATAAAATACCTAGGAATAAACCTACCTAGGGAGACTTGTATGCAGAAAAGTATAAGACACTGATGAGAGAAATTAAAGATGATACAAACAGATGGAGATATATACCATGTTCTTGGACTGGAAGAATCAATATTGTGAAAATGACTGTACTACCCAAAGCAATCTACAGATTCAGTGCAATCCCTATCAAATTACCAATAGCATTTTTTATAGAACTAAGCAAAAAATCTTAAAATTTGTGTGGAGACACAAAAGACCCCGAATAGTCGAAGCAGTCTTGAGGGAAAAAATACGGAGCTGGAGGAATCAGGCTTTCGGACTTCAGACTATACTACAAAGCTACAGTAATCAAGACAGTATGGTACTGGCATAAAAACAGAAATATAGATCCAAGGAACTGGATAGAAAGTCCAGAGATAAACCCATGCACCTGTGGTCAACTAATCTATGACAAAGGAGGCAGGGAAATACAATGGAGAAAAGACAGTCTCTTCAGTAAGTGGTACTGCGAGAACTGGACAGCTACATGTAAAAGAATGAAATTAGAACACTCCCTAGCACCATACACAAAAATAAAGTCAAAATGGATTTGAGACCTAAATGTAAGACCAGACACTATAAAACTCTTAGAGGAAAACATAGGAACAACACTCTTTGACATAAACCACAGCAAGATCTTTTTTGACCCACCTCCTAGAGTAAGAAATGAAAACAGGGCTTCCCTGGTGGTGCAGTGGTTGAGAGTCTCCCTGCCGCTGCAGGGGACATGGGTTCATGCCCTGGTCTGGGAGGATCCCACATGCCGCGGAGCGGCTGAGCCTGTGAGCCATGGCCACTGAACCTGCGCCTCCAGAGCCTGTGCTCCACAGAGGGAGAGGCCACAACAGTGAGAGGCCCATGTACCGCAAAAAACAAAAAACAAAAATAAACATATGGGACTTAATTAAGATTAAAAGCTTTTCCACAGCAAAAGAAACTACAAACGATGAAAAGAGAACCCTTAGAATGGGAGAAAATATTTGCAGACGAATCAATGGACAAAGGATTAATCTCCAAAATATATAAACTGCTCATGCAGCTCAACATTAAAAAAACAAACAACCCAATCCATAAATGGGCAGAAGACCTAAATAGACATTTCTCCAAAGAAGGCCAAGAAGCACATGAAAAGCTGCTGAACATCACTAATTATTAGGGAAATGCAAATCAAAACTACAATGAGGTATCACCTCATACCAGTTAGATTGGGCATCATCATATAATCTACAAACAACAAATGCTCGAGAGGGTGTGGAGAGGAGGAACCCTCTGGCATTGTTGGTGGGAATGTACATTGATGCAGCGGCGGGGTGGTGCGGGTGGTGGGATGAATTGGTAGACTGGTACTGACATATATACACTAATATGTATAAAATGGATAACTAATAAGAACCTGCTATATAAAAAAATAAAATAAAATTCAAAAAATAAAAATGTGCTCCAAATTTTAGTTTATGTTGGAATAACTAAATAGAATTGTCAAAACATGATGCTTTGGAATTTGCATTACTTAAGAGTTGTCCATTTTCTGACTTGATTCTTGTTTCCCTCCTAACTGCAGTGTGTAATGCATCTTGAAGACCGGTTACAGGAGCTATACTTCAAGAGCAAAATGCTGTCTGAGTACCTGAGGGGACAGATGCGTGTTCATGTCAAGGAGCTGGGAGTGGTTTTAGGGTATGTTCCTGATTCCTTTTCCGGCTTTGCTTTCTCGTTTCACTGTGTATATTTAGGCAAGGAATATTCCTCAGAATTGCCTTTTTTCTTTTTAAGTTTTTTATCTTGTTAGAAGCTGTATACTGTTATCAGCTGGGTTGTTCTATACCAGCGGTCTCCAACCTTTTTGGCTCCAGGGATCGGTTTCCATTTCCACCAATGGGGTGTGGAGAATGGCTTAGGCAGTAATGTGAATGATGGGGAGTGGCTGATGAAGCTTTGCTCGCTTGCCCGCCGGTCACTTCCTGCTGTGCGGCCTGGTTCCTAACAGGCCACAGACTAGTACCAGTCCACGGCCTGTGGGTTGGGGACCCCTGTTGTATACAGTATAAAAGCAGAACCCTGTCCTACACTGATCTGAAATGCACTTTCTCTTGTGCAATTACAGTAGGTTGAGAATATAGTCGAATAAAAAGGAATTAAAGTCTAAATTTTTGCATTAGAAAAAAATAAGTAAGTATTCGTTTTTATTTATTAAATATGTTGTAAACTCATCATTCCCAGCATCTGCCCGGCCTTCCAGATGATCTGATTGAAGTAATGGCACTCTATGGATGATGGTATATTATCTACATATTATTACTCCTTCCCCATTATCTATATATTATGTCTTTATACTCTGAAGTTATTCCTGGGAAGAAGCTAATTATTTAAAATGCTAACTGAAGGACAAACAGGAAATTGGCGAGAGGCATAGTATAGCCCCTTTCATTATGTTCTGTAGTCACTTTCCCTGTGTTCTATGTCCACTTTGTGTGTGTGTATGTGAAAATTATTTCTTGAAATGCTGGTTGAATAAATTAAAACAAGCTAGAACTTTTGTCTAATTTCAGCTTTTATGAAGGGAGAAAGAGCCAACATTGAGTTGCTACTATATGTCTGAAACCAAATTAAATTCATTCATTAATGTTATTGCTTATTATCCAGATTAGAAATAGATGATTCTCTGCATGTAATGCCTTTATTTTTAGAAAATTTAAACTAATTTTTAAAGTAATGTACATATAATGAAAGTTTCAGTGCATTTTGGCATAAAGTGAAAAGTAAGTCTTTTCCTCAACTTCCAGTCCTCAGTCAAGCACAGTTAATGGATTGTTTCTTTTACAGAATTTTTAAATGTGTAGGGTTAAAAATATAAATTAATTTGTACTCTATATATCTTGGTGCAGCTTGCCTTTTAATGTATCTTGAATGTTTGTTCATTTAAGCACATACCACACACACTGATCTATATCATTTTTAATGGCTGTAATGCATTCCATTATATGGTGGAATTTATTTTCAGTGTTTTGCTGTTACAAATCAATGCTGGAATAAATATAAACCTTTGAGGTTTATAGGATAAATTCTTTGATGTAGAATTTTTGAATTAAAGGCCATATGTGATTAAATTGTTGGTATTTTGACAGTAATAGTAAATGCTATCCAGAAAGTACCAGAATAAATTTTCACGAACAGTGGGAAGCACACTCTTCTTACTGCTATTTATTACCAAACTTTTTAATCTTCTCCAAGCTACTAGCTGAAAAATGAAATCTGATTTTATTCAGATTTATTCTCTAACGAGGAGTGTGTCTGCATAACTTATTTTGATATTTATTGGCCATTTTTCTTTTCGTATAAGTTATTTGTGGTAGGTTGTATTTTTAAGAGGCTTCCATTATGTCTTCCCAGTAAATCTTATTACAGAAACATTTGTATCCAAAACAATATGGCTGCACACTATTATTCTGTTATTATACTATATAATATTTCTTTTTTTTTAAAAAATAAATTTATTTATTTATTTTTGGCTGCGTTGGGTCTTCGTTGCTGGGCGTGGGCTTTCTCTAGTTTTAGCAAGCGGGGGCTACTCTTCGTTGTGGTGAGCAGGCTTCTCATTACGGTGGCTTCTCTTTGTTGCGGAGCACAGGCTCTAGGCACACAGGCTTCAGTAGTTGTGTCACGTGGGCTCAGTAGTTGTGGCGCACAGGCTTAGTTGCTCCGCGGTATGTGGGATCTTCCTGGACCACGGCTCGAACCTGTGTCCCCTGCATTGGCAGGTGGCTTCTTAACCACTGCGCCACCAGTGAAGTCCCTATATAGTATTTCTTAGACATTATCCCTTGCCCTGATGCATGGTCCATCAGCACATCAGTGAGATGGTTTCCTGCATTCGTGACTTCGTTACTGTTGGGTTTCAGAGGCTGTTTTAAAAATCTTTAGTTATGGTTTTTACTTACTGAAAAATTTCTAATTTTCATTATCTTCAGTCCTCTTACCCTTTTCCTTTTGGCCAGGGTGGCCAAGCTCCTTGAGTGGAGATGTATAGTGACTTTATAGATAGCAGTCATTGCCTGTAGGAATAAACCTGAACTGAGATTTTTTTTTTTTTTAATTTCAGGATTGAATCCAGTGATCTTCCTCTTCTGGCTGCTGTAGCAAGCACTCACTCTCCATATGTTGCTCAGATACTACTTTAACAGAAAGGCTGTTGGAAATTAACTTTGGTGGAAAGTTAAGTAGAAACCAAGGAAGCAGTCACAACATGCATTTATGGCAATTTTTTTTCTCTGTCAGACCTTCATCTGAATGAGTCAGTCACCTGGGTGGGTATTCTGCATTGCAGTGCATATTGTGTCATCACTGGATGGCTTTTTCATTTTGATTGGACTTCTGGATGGTGGCAGACTTTTAACCAAGTGAAACTAAAAACAGCATTTGGGAGGAGAGCATTTGAAGAAGCCAAAGTGTAACTTCGACGTTTCTACAAAATGAATAACATTGAGGAATTTCATTATGATCACTACAGTCTTGCCACAACCCATAAGTAGGAGGAATGGATATCTCATGATTAAATGGCTCAGAAAGAGTCATTTCATTAGTTTTAATTCTTTATTTCTAAGGTACAAAGATCTATGAAACTTTTGTGTTTTTTTGTTTTTCAATTCAAAATAGCCGATTTCTGGGTATTTCTCAAAATTTTAAACAGCTTGTTAATTAGAATAAACTCAGAATAAAGCGTATAAACCTGTGTTATGTTATCCATCCAAGTGTACATATGTATCTATTTTTTAAAAAAGCAGAGGTAGAAATACAAGATTGGTAAACATGCCTTTTTAAAAAATATATTTTCAACTAGGATTAATTGTATATAATGTTGAAATATTACTTTCTGGTGATTTTTCTGTTTCACACACTCTAAAATATAAGTAAAGCCAATCTTTTTTTAAGGCTGAGGAATGTAGATTCCCAAAATAAGAATACTACTTTATACCATTTGTTTTGTTTATAAGTATAAGCTAATTCTTATAAATGTTAATATTTACATATTTGCATTTAATTTAATAAATTAAAATTAGGATTAAAAATTGCACCAAAGCATTGGCAGAAATAATACTATTTTCTTTAAAAGTGCTCAGGTAGCCGAGGCCCTTGGTTTCGGTATCAGCCCTTCTTGAACCCATAGGAACTGAATATTTGTTTCACTGCTTCATAATATTCAGTTTACACTAAAATAACTCATTAACTCTTAAGATTTTTTTTTTCTCTAATAGCTCCTCTCTTCCAAAAGCTAACTTTTTTCAAAGATTTCAACTTTTCAGTTGTTATTGTTTTTGTATATATTGTAGAGTGTTGCTTGTGAGAAAGGCTAATATGGAACCAAACTCTTGTAAGTAATGTAAATAGAAAGATGGGTAGATAAAGTTTTCATTATGCTCTACTACCTCAGTTTACTTGAAATACTACATTATAGTTTATCCTTTACTTATCTGGTCTAAGATGCTTTTAATGCTAGAAGTGAAGCTGGTTTCTGCTTTCATGAACTGTTTTCATCAAAATTAGTTGATTAGCTTAAAACAGAAAACCACTTGCTCATTCTGTTTCTAGGAACATTTTGTCTATAATGCATCTATTCTTGCTATTTAAGTTTTCAATAATTAAGGAAGATTTCTGTGATTTATTTAGTCTTTGACCTTGAATTTATAGCATTGGGTCACATTTTGTCTTACTCTAATCTCCAGCTAGACTAAGAAGAAATGGTTATTTTAATGGAATGTAAACCTGAAATTGGTGTGCTTGCAATTGCTTTGGCCCCTGTGTCCTATCAGCTGGTCCCAGTTAGTACCAGAGTCTTCCATGGATGACTTGCTGTCAAAGAGTGTTTATGGATATATTTTTGTTAGCTTAATTTTTTAGTCTATTCATTAATGAAGTTCTTCTCTCATCTGTTGTTTGGAATTTTATGAATCAATCTCTTTAGCAGAATTCAGAATATAGAAAAGATCATATGTGGCCACTGTACATTTTTATTTTTAATTGTAGTTCAGAATATGTAGCAGGTAGACAGTGTCTTTTTTATGTGTGTTATTGTTTAAATTAATCATTGAACTATTCACAGTCCTGTCTATTTGAAATCTCTAATAAATTACCATTTAGGAAATCTAGTCTTTAATAAATGGATGGCTCATGCTACTGTAATTCTTAAAACTAAGCTTTGCTTGAAAGGAAAAGGCCTATAGTTTCTTATAGAATCATCAATCCTTATAGGATTCCTGAGTTTTATAATTTGCAATTCTTCTGTAATTTCTGCTCCTTCGTCATAGTCATTCTTGCATTACACAAAGCCCAAGGAATGAGCTGCTACTTCTTTAAAGTGTGATCATTATGATGAATGTGAAAAGAATTTTTGGCCTGTTCAAAATAATTTTTTTCAACTTCTTACGGTACAGATAGATATGTTACACATTTTAAAAACCTATTTGTTGCAACAGGAGATGAAAAAGGGATCTTTTACATTATAGATTTAAAACTAATTTTTCCTGTATATAAACTAATTGGTTTGATTTTAAATATTCCTGGCTTTTATTAATATGTCTTAATTTTGAGTTTGAAAATGTTAAGTGCAATAAACATACTAGCACAGATTTCATTTTGTTGCAATTGGCATACACTGGGGATGATCACTTTAAAAAGAAACAGATTTTACACAATGCCTACTTCTGGTAGATGTCTTATGAGATTATTATGCTTTAAGTTATTTAGATGGTGGGAGATGTAAAATGTAAATACTTGTTTCTTGTTCTGTATACATTTCTCAAATGTACGCCTGTATTATAATAACCTCCCAGTTCTAGGGGATATTTGTGCAATAAATACACATGTCAATTTGATGGATGATGTTGTTCTTTTTTTCACATTTAATAAGGTATATGTAACATGGATTCTGGTGCCGGCCCACCTGGATTGTTTTCCCAAATGTGACACTTCTAGGCATGTGACCTTGTTCATAATGTCCTTCTCTAATCCTAAATTTCTGAATTGGTAACTTAGTAGAATCTACTTTATGAGGTTGTGAGAGTCAAATGAAATAAGGAATGTCGAGAATTTATCTCAATGCTTGGCACACTCCAAATGCTCAGTAATTTTGGGGTGCTATGGTTGCTAGGTAATCTGTCCAGCCTTTGCTGTACAGCTCCTGTCTATTTTATTTTGGGGGAAATTTAACATTTATTCTTTTTTTTTTTTATTTTTGGCTGCGTTGGGTCTGTTGCTGTGCGCGGGCTTTCTCTAGTTGCAGTGAGAGAGGCTACTCTTCATTGCAGTGCACGGGCTTCTCACTGCGGTAGCTTCTCTTGTTGTGGAGCATGGGTTCTAGGCACGGGCTTCAGTAGTTGCAGCATGCGGGCTTAGTAGTTGTAGCACACAGGCCCTAGAGCGCGCGGGCTTCAGTAGTCGCAGCATGTGGGCTCAGTAGTTGTGGCTTGCAGGCTGTAGAGTGCAGGCTCAGTAGTTGCAACGCACAGGCTTAGTTGCTCCACAGCCTGTGGTATCTTCCCAGACCAGGGCTCAAACCCGTGTCCCCTGCATTGACAGGCGGATTCTTAACCATTGTGCCACCAGGGAAGTCCTAACATATATTCTTTTGAGTTAAAGTGTAGTAACCAAAAAATATGGTATATTCTTACGTTTGACCGAATCTTCACGATGACAAATTGAAATTTTCTTTAAATGCTTTCGTGAAAACAAACTGAGTATCAATCATTTAAAACTAGAAGAAGCCATGTAAACTTGTCAAGAACATTGTTTCTAATTAAAATTACTACTGACTTTATTATTTTATTTATTTATTTTTGGCTGCATTGGGTCTTTGTTGATGCGCATGGGCTATCTCTAGTTGCAGCAAGTAGGGGCTTCTCTTCGTTGAGGTGCACAGGCTTCTCATTGCCTTGAGAAGGCAATGAGAAGTAGCTTCTCTTGTGCGGAGCACAGGCTCTAGGCGTGCGGGCTTCAGTAGTTGTAGCACATGGGCTCAGTAGTTGTGGCTCACAGGCTCTAGAGTGCAGGCTCAGTAGCTGTGGTGCACGGGCTTAATTGCTCTGCGGCATGTGGGATCTTCCCAGACCAGGGCTTGAACCCGTGTCCCCTGCATTGGCAGGCAGATTCTTAACCACTGCGCCACCAGGGAAGCCCCTGACTTTAAAATTAAACAAAAAATTGGCCTGTTGGTTTGGATTCTAATCCTGTTCTGTTCGCGGATTTGCATGTCCCTCTGAGCAAGTCTGTCGTCTTCATCTGCATTGTAGGGAAGTCACCTCTTCCATCAGTCCTTAGCGCCTGCTCTGCAGCAGTGATTCAACCCTGAGTAGGCTGTTGGGAAGCTGCCTTACTCAGGTTGGGTTGATTTGGGCAGAGTTACGCCAGGAGGCAGGATTAGGCCAGGGGCTTTTTGCAGTGCCTGTTTTTATATTATTTTACATTTATCACTCTTACATTTGACTGAAGAGACTAAGTGCACTGTTTTAAAGCAGAAAGGAAGTATCAAGTATTTGGGAAGCATTTATCAGATAGTTTAGAGGTTTATAATTGCCTGTGTTTATATGTGCTGTTCTCTGATAAAAATTTAAAGAAATCTTGCAACATTTCTGAAAAGCATAGATTCTGCTAATGAGAAACTGAAATACAGAGAATTTAATCTGAGGTCATATACTCTTTCCTGTCTCAGAACAGAATGTTTCCAACTAGGATGTGGTGACAGATGTGTTGTAAAGATACCTGAGATTTCTTTGTCTCTGCCATTGTAGGAGGTGTAGGGGTGGGGTGGCAAGTGGGACCAAACATGAGCTGAAGGTGCACTGGGGGCTGGGGAATTGTAACTCTGAGTGAGAAGGACTTAGGCAGATAGGAAAGGGGGAAGTTGGAGACTGTAATGCTTCTTGTCCTTGCTTTATAGTGCAGACTGTAGACTTGGCCATGTTTGCTGTAGAGTTAAGATTTGAAACTTCCCTAAAGAAAAGAAAATACAGGCAATCCAAAAGAGAGTTGTAAAGAATTTTCTTTTAAATTTTTTAAAAGAAATTTTTAGCAAGAGATTTTTAAATGGATGAAATTTCCATCCATTATTTTTTCAGGAGAACTTCTGGTCTTAAAGCATATGCTCGGGTCAGGGGCTTCTTTCTTGCCAACACCCCAGGATTTGGTCCCCTTATAACGTTTCCTTTAAAAGCGACTCTCCTTTTCGTAAAAGTATGAGCCTAGACCTATCCCTTCATCAGGTTGCAGACAGCTCTCTGCCCAGGTTAGCACTATCTGATTAGACCTGCCCTAGGTATAACTGTATTTAAGGAGAGTATTAAGTTGAAGAGGTTGGAGATTCCTTCCTTTCCAAGTGACCATTGTAACAAGGACAGTCCCAAAACATGTTTTTACATTCACCTCAACAGTCAAAGTAAAATTATTGATAAAAGCAGTGTTACCTAAATTGTCTCAAAGGGAATAACCTTGTTGAAGTGTTGTGTAAATATAAAGAAGATATTATTTCCTCAAGAAACTTGTGATGCCACTTTTGTGTCATACATTTGCTTCATCACTCACAAGTCAATACCCTTCACTGTGTTGGAATTAAGATGGGTCAGACTAGTCCAAAACCTGAGTTAGTTTAAAGTAGTTTTCAAACCTGGTTGCATATTAGGAACACCTAGATAGTGTTTGGAAAGTATTAATTCCTAGACCGCACCCTCAAAGATTCTTATTCAGTGATAGAAATTGGGCCAGCAAGTGCTCTTAGTTTTCAACTAGTAGTGACTCAGTTTCCCAGCATACCCCAAATCTGAATTCCTTACTCCATTCTAGGTGCTATTAAAACCAGTGCTCTTAACTTCAGTCTTTTGATGGTTTGCTGTTGTTCTACAAAGATGGCCATATAATTGTGTGTGCCTAATAAGTATTCAGTTTTGCATAATAGAACAGTTGTCTAGCCAGATATCTTTCTTTGCCATTGGAAAGCAATCAAGTGTCTATCTTTTTAAAAGCAAAATCCCCTCTTAATCACTTAGTCCTTAGATAGATCAATTTGTTCATTTAGCAGATATTGATTGAGCACCTGTTATGTGCTGGGCACGGGTCTGGGTGCCAGGGATAAGTCAGTAAATAACACATACTTTCTCAGGAAGTTTACATATTTCCTGCTGGTGGAGGAGATAGACAAAGATATTATGCTGTCAGGTTGTGGTAAGTATAATGACAAAAATTAAGGTAGGGTAAGCAGTTAAGCTACTTTTTTTTTTTTAAAGACTTAACCATCTTTTTGTTTTCCTATAATTTAGTAAATTACTTGCATTCAGAACCATTACTTTTTTGTTTCAGATACATGTTAATGTTGGTGAATCCTATCGTGGAGGTTGGCTTTTCTCTGAAAATAGCTATTAGAGCTCTCACTGTCTCCTCACTTTTTTCAGCATACCAAAGCACAATACAGGATAGGAAAGGACAAGATAGATTTTGAAAATATGTTTAAATTTAGGTGTGTATAGTTACTGTGGATATTAATATACTGTTTTTACTGTTGCTGTCTTATAAGGTCTATATTAATGTTACTTTTATAGACTTAATTTTTTCTTGTCAAGTATTATATAAAATTAATAAATGTACACTAATGTAACCATCACTTAGGTCAAGAAGTAAATCATTTTCAGTAATTCAGGATCTCCACCCCTCCTCCATGTGCCCTATCCTGATCATAATACTCTCCCTTCTCATTTTTGTAAATTCCAACATGATTTTCGTGAACATTCCCTTGCTCTCTTTTAATAGTTTGTGTATGCATCCCTAAGTGATATACTTTAGTTTTGCTTGTTTGAACTTTGTGTAATTATACCCCATATTTTTTTTTGCTTTTTTTCTATCAACATTATGTTGGAGTTTCATTCATGTGCTATGTAGGTGGTATTTCACTGAATGAATATACAGCAATTTACCCATTCTATAGTTGATGGACAATTCGGTTATTTCCAATTTTTGGCTAATATGAACAGTGCCCATTTTTGTTCATCTTTTCTGGGTATTCTTTAGGACATATATCAAGGAGTGGGCTTGCTAGTTTCAGCTTTACTAGATACTTCTTTTTTTTCTAACTGGTTTCCCAATAGACACTTAACTGGCAGTTTGTGAGAGTTCCTGTTGCTCCACATCTTCATGAATACTTAAATGTGATTCTTAATAGTTCTAATAAAAAAAAAAGCAGTAAAGGGAAAACCTATCCAATTCTTCAAATTTGAATATATGCTTTAGAGAAATCACTTCCTAGAGGTAAAGTAATAGAAATAGTAAAGGGTGCCTGGATTGTGCAGGCAACATTCTAAATGCTTCACATAAATTATCTCATGTAATCTTAAGAGAATTCCAAAGCAATAGGTCTTTTACTATTCCCATTTTACGGTTAAGGAAACTGAAGTTTAGAAATATCAAATAACTAAGTCATTTAACTAGAAATGGCCTATTAAAGACAAATACAGATGTTTGCCCCTAAAGTCCAAGCTCGTGGTCATCATGTTTTAATGCCTTTTCCCTCTTTTGAAAATATTGATGTGGCTTTGGAAACATGCTTCAAAAATGGAAGGGATAACCTTTGTGATCTTACGCAGACTTTTGAGAGGATATGTTTATACACAAAAAAATGACGAAAGTGACAATGTCACAATTGTGATCAACTGAAAATTTCCTTCCAGAGTGGCTGAGTCATAACTCCCTGGTAAGGTTTTTGTCCTATACTTAAAAACGAAATGTGCTAATATTATGTTGTAAACTTCAAGTTTGGGCAAGGTGAATGACCAACGGAAAACAAAACCCTTATTAACATCAGCCATCATTACTAGGTCCCTGAAACGGTGAATGTTGCAGCCTGAACTCTCCTTTCCCTTTTGTTACTCTAAAATATAATTTTCTTATTACCATGTCATTAAAAATTAATGTGAATAACATCATAATTTTAAATCACTTCGAGTTATTTAGTGAACCATGTCAATTGCCGTAAGAAATACTAAGATGTATTCAGTGGAAAGGACATGCTTATGAGGCTCCAAAGTAAGGAACTGTGTAACCTGTACGGCTTATCTGTACGCTGACATAGGACTGTTTAGAACGATGGATTCTGGAATTCTGTCAGTGACCTTTAAGGCAGAAACAGCCTCTGCAGGTGTGTGGCTGCCGCAGAGAGTAGTCGAGATGTTTTTCTTACCAAGGGACTAGTAAATAAACGTTAATTTGCCTTATTCGGCCTGTTGGGAAACAGACTAGTATCTAAAGTGTAGTGAGAGAGCGGTCACTCCTGAGCCAGGCAACCCTAAGGCCCGCTGCCTGAGAAGGGGTTGGGCGGAGGGAAGGCTGTCCTGGGCATTGGTTACGTGAACGTAGTCTAGACTGACTTCGCAAACCAGCAGTAACTCTTGAGCTGGCTGCAGGCACGGTGGCTGCCCACCCCTGCTCAAGGCCACGAAACTTCGGTTCCTCTGCCCTGATGTCAGGGCGTCCGTCTTAGACAAGGCAGGTAGTTCTCGGCGGGCCCCTTCCACAAGAGATTCGTTTTATTAGAAGACAGGGAAGAGAAGCTGTGAACTTCCTTGTTTGCCGAATGGCCGCTTCGACTTCCGCACGTTCTCCTAGGGAGCGGTGTCGGAGTTGCAGACCTGGAGCTCCGCCCCGGGCTTGGCCATGCCCCGAGCTTCCGGATTTTGGCACAAACAGAACTCTCCACCCAGAACACCTGCCGCACGGGTTCGATCCCCAACACGCTATTCTCGTTCAGTAGGTCACAGCGCGTTTTCAGCCCCCCCCCACCGGAAACTGGTGCGGCGGAAACCCCAACTCCGAGGCGGATCCCGTGACGGGCTTGGGTGATGTCTCGCGACGTTTCTTCAAATCTCACGAAGAAGGGTTGGAGGAGGCTTCACTGCACCGCCCAGTTTTTACGTCATTTCAGAGTCACGCCCTTAGGCGCCCGTTTGCGCGCTTGCGCGTGCTGCGCACGCGCACTCGCCTTTCCTCCGCCCCCGCGCGGGCTTCTCTGGCCAGTCGCGCGTGGGCTGAGGCCCTGGGCGGGCCGTGCGAAGGCTTGTTTGCCAAAGCGGGGTCCCCGCCGCAGTCTGGAGCTCCCTTCTTCAGGGGAGGGGGAAAAGGGTGTAGCCCCCCCCACCTAGGGTGAATGGGCTGTCGCGTGGGCTGCTAAGGGCAGGCTGGGGAGCACGGGGGCCGGGGCCGCGACCATGAACTCACCCGTGGACCCCGGAGCTAGGCAGGCGCTGAAGAAGAAGCCGCCCGAGCGGACGCCCGAGGTAAGGCCAGCTGGCCCGGCGCGCCTCCCGCTGTCCAACGGACAGCATCCCTCTGTCGGTCCGAAACTTGCGGCAACTGCCCCCTTGTCAGAGCCTCGCACCTGCTGCCAAGGTAGCTGTTCTGAGTCCCCGGCCCTGACCCGGGCCCTTGTCGCGGGCGGGTGACGACCGTCTTTCCCGCTCGCTGTGCCGCCTTCCCCGCACACCCGTCCTTGCCGGTGACTTCGCAGTGTTTTCGATAAAAAAAGCACCATTACTAAATCGTATTTTCTCAGGGTGAAATGTGGGTCTCGGACTGAGATTGTCCCGTAGATAGGTAGACTATGAAAAATTATAAGTGAACTATAACAGCCGTGTTATTAAGAAATAACTTCTCTTAAAGTTCTTTGAAATGCTGTTCAATTGCCTAAAGAAAGTTTTCAAGATCAGTTTAAAACTTTGCATCCAGTCAGATGATGAATTCTGGTGGAGAATTATGCGTATCTGAAGATAAGTTCTGGGGAGGTAGTTTTTTGTGTGTCACTGGGAAATGTTACAGTATTTTGTGCTTGGATCCAAAACCTGCTTATTGAGTTAAATGATTTTCACTTGAGCTGAAGGCTGGTGTTCGGGCAAATAACTGAAACCTGTTAACCTTGGCAATCCCTATAGAGGCTTAAATTGGGGGCGGGGGGGAAGGTTTTCCTTGATTTGGATAAGTTTCCATAATAAGTGGTATGTTTCCTAAACCAAAAAGCAAAAACTAACAACAATGTGAATGGATTGTTGGACTGTCTTGTGTGTAATTGCAGTATATAAAATGAAGTGCTTTGGTTAGTTCTTCCTAAATCACTTTTGTGTTTTTCAGATTAATAATGTTTTGCATAGTAAGTCTCAGTAATTTGGGCTGACCTTTTGTGACATGATATTAGTCAAGCTGTAATTGTAGCTGCTGGGTCAAACTTTGTTATTGGAAATCCTGATCTTTGCATAGAAACAAAGCAAATTCTACCACTTTCCACAGTCCTCTTTTTAAGACCTGCATTTGTAATCCCATGTGTCTTAATTTTCCTCTGATAATTCTTGAGGTCATTGTGAGTTAATTGAAAGCATTCACTTTGAACAGGTGAATCTACCATAGTTTTAATATCATTAGAAAGTATCATACAAGGCTTACAATGTATAATGTAGGTTTTACTTTTAAGTATTACTTATGATAAATTCACATTTTAATGGGAAGATCCTAATTTTCTTTAATAACAGAATTACCTACTTTGAAATTGCTTATTTTTGAGTTTTAGGAAAATTTCTAAACTGTTCACAAAGTTATGGTGGCCAGTGCGTGCTGTGTAAGTACTTTATCTTGTTTTACTGGAACAGCAGCGTTGTTTAAGGAAATGCTAAACAGCTGCCCACAGTACACAGACTGGAGCTCTGACATCTAGCAGCATAACTTGTTAACTGCTTGAATCAGTGGCAGTGCTTTTTAAACTTTTATTTATTGATTTATTGGTTGCTTGATTGCCACGCCACGTGGCTTGTGGGATCTTAGTTCCCCCACCAGGGGTTGAACCCGGGCCCTTGGCAGTGAAAGCGTGGAGTCCTAACTCCTGGACCGCCAGGGATGTCCCATCATTGGCAGTGCTTTTGAATGAGTGTAGAATTTGTTCGGGGTACAGAAGTATCAATAAAGAAGTGATAAATTGAATCCTAGTTTTGAGCTATTTGTGATAAATAATTTGATGAAATTCTCATAGGGTCATGCCTGCTTTCAGAAGATCCTTATTCTTTTTAGTGGACTCTTAAGGGTCTATTATAAATATATTCACTCAACAATTATTTGTTGAAAGCTTACCAGTTCAAGGCACTATTTTGTGCACTAGGATGTATCAGTGAACAAAACAGGCATGCCCTATTGGTGTTTACATTCTAACAGAAGAGAGAGGGGAGTAGGCAGATAAATATAATAAACAAGTATGTTACATAATATGTTAGCTGATAATTGCTAGTTAAAGAAAGAGCAGGATAAAAGAATTGGACGTTAAGGGACAAGGACTGGGTGCAATTTAAGGTAGTTGGTGTCCTGGTTGAGATGAATTTTGATTAAAGTCTGATTCATGTGATAGAGTTAGCAATGGGGATATATGGGGAAATAGCTTTCCAAGTAGAATAGTCATTGCAAAAGTTCTAAGATGAGAACGTGTCTGATGCATTCAAGGAATAGCAAGGAGCTCTGAGTGACTGGAGAAGAGTGGTAAGAGATGAAGTCAGAGAGGTGATAGTGGTGGTGTAGGATGGAGCTTATGCAGGACTTTCTAAATTGTAAATTCTTTGACTTTTACTTTGAGTGAAAGAGGGTTTTGTTTTCCACCAAAGTGTTTTGAAGCAGAGGAACGATGTTGTCCTAGTTTTTAAAGCATCCTCTGGCTGCTTGCTGGGTTGAGAATAAACTGTGTGGGAGCAAGGGTAGAAAGAAACAGGAACATCAGTTAGAGGTTATCACATTAAAGCAGGGAAGAGATCATAACTCAGAGTAAAGTGATAGTAATGCTGGTGGTGAGTAGTAGTCAATTATGGAAACAGGATTTAGCCAACAGGATTTGCTAATGGATTAGATTGTGCTTTGAGGAAGAAAAAAAAATCGAACATGATTTCAAGGTTTTTGGGCCGAATAACTGGAGTGTTGGAGTTACCATTGAAGAGAGTTTGAGCTGCCATCAAAGAGACTGGGGAGGGCTTCCCTGGTGGCGCAGTGGTTGAGAGTCCGCCTGCTGATGCAGGGGACGCAGGTTCGTGCCCCGATCCGGGAAGATCCCACATGCCG